AATATTTCCATTCCATGCTGTTTTATTGAATTCATTTATTCTATTAATGTGTTAATTTTATTACAGATCAGTTTCATTTATTCTATGAATGCAGAGGCGTAGCTAAGGTTTTAAATGCCCGGGGACAACTAAAGATTTTGCACCCCTTTCTGTGTTCCAAGAATGGAAAACATTTCATTTTAAAATTTGTAGCATCAATTTGGCGCCCCTTGGATGCTGCGCCTGGGGACAGATGTACCCCCTTGCCCCCCCTAGCTACGCCACTGTATGAATGTGTTAGTTTTATTACAGATAAGTTTCATTTATTCTCCTGAACTTTGCTTAAAAATTGAAGGCCCATAATCTGGATGATTAGGATCATTAGATGGTTTATCTGAAAAAAATCTAGTATTGGAAACAGAATAAAAAAATAGCATTAGCTTTTATTTTGATATTTCATATACTAATACTTTCCTATGTATTCTCTTAAAATATTGCGATTTTCATAAACAATTACTATGTGCAAACTAAGAATAAAAATTACAGTTAAAATATATTAAACAAATGCTGAGTAATTCAATTAGTGTACTGAAAATCATTTGAATTCCAAAAATAAACTAATCGGTAAATAATATTTTTTCTAAAAAGTGGTCACATGAATGTAAAGCTTTTTAAGATTTTAATGTATTTAAAATATTCCTAGATGCTTAAAAACTGAGAAAAATATCTATCTCAAGATCATAAAACAATATGTGACTTCTTAAAACATAATGAATCATTAGTGTCCCGGTAATAACATAACCTCAACAGGCGAAAATCGTCGCCAAACACCGCTGATAAATTCTTCATAATTTTTGTCAAAGATATTTATAATCTATGTTTACATATCCATTAGTATGATATAAAATGCTTCTAAATATTAACTACCCATAATAAAATGAGTACTGCAGAGAGTGGATGAATTATTCCAGTTTTCTGTATGAACGGGGGCTTACAACAGGCGCCTAACGTTGGATTTCTAGAAAAACAGAACATTTTTATTTTAGATAATAAATTAGTTTCAAGTGTTATGCTACAGCCCACAGCCACACACACTGAATCGATTTCCTTTTATGCATACTTCTGCATTTATCAGAATAAAACAAAAAATTAAACACTTCTAAAATAAATTCACAACAGCAACGTAAACAAATACAGCAATATCGGAAACGGAATCTTCTGGGGGGGGGTCCTGATGTGAGGGCCCTCTTCGTTGAGCTTTACAGAAAACTTTGTCAATACGAATTTTTTAAAATCATAACCAATCTAAGATTGAATTTTACCTAATTTCAAAGATAAAATTTGCAACTATCCAATTAACCATAAATTTATGAAAATTTTTGTAAAAATACTGTACTAGTATATGAAATATCCTAAAATCTCAATAAGTTATCACACTTACACGAGAACTATGAAAAATGTGTTTTTAAATAATGTAATTTTTCTAAATATAGTGGCTTGAATAATATTGATATTCTGAGAAGGAAATTTTTGACAAAATCTGATGTATCTTTCAATACGTATGTACTTATTCCAGTTGTAGTCTTAATTTTATAATATTGCTGAGTTAGAATTCAAATTTGATTTATGTATTTGTTCAGAAATTATTGTAAATTAATCCATGTTTCAATTAGGCTGCATTCATAGACTAATATAATAAAACTCACTTGTATGACAATGAATCTTAAGCAACTGGATTTTTTTTTAAACAACAAAATTCTTATTTCAGCGAATACGATGTTTGTGATCTGATTCAAAACTATAAAAGCGTGTTTTGTCCTATGTTTCCACCTGGAGTTAAATGCGCTTGTCCTTTGAAAAAAGCAACCTACAATTTGGAAAATGCTCTTGTAGTACTTCCAGATTATGGAGAAGTATTCAAAATAATATTGAAGGTAAAAAACTTCATTTTGAAATTACATTATTCAATATTGCATGCACTTTCTCCGTATTAAATTTACCACACTTTATTTTAAGTAAAATATTACAAAATATAATTCCGTAATTTCTCCTTTCCTGGAATGCGATAACAATTTTCGGCTAGAACAGTAGACTGAATGTCTGATAATATATCGGGGACAAACGTTTGCCATCTGTTAGATTTAGACATTAACCAAAAAAGCACACGACTTGAATTACTCCACTCATGTATATAATGAATTATCGCTTGTGATGCACTTCTAACTACTTGTATTAAGGTGTTAGCAAAACAAAAGCACAGTTTCAATAACAGAATCGAAATTGGTTTAAGGGGAGCAATTCCAGTTTTTGCTATCAATAGTTTTACACAAGTAGTTGGATGATTAGATGATCTAACAATAAATAACTGTACCAAAATCTTCCTCCGATTCAAAGCCCATGTGATTGAATCTTCAAAATTTTATATAAAAGGACATTTCTAGTAATACGCATTAATCAATTTCTTTACACACAGTCTTCCATTTTCCCCCCAATTTCTTCTGGAAATGGATAATCATAGGCAAGTTTAAATTTCGAAAGCTCTTGAAAGAAAATTTTTATTGCTATGACAGTCCAACCTAAAGGATCGAATAATTTTGCTATCGGTTTTAATACAACACGTTTTGTTGTCTTTGAATATCTTGATTATTTAACTTCACAGAATTACAGAAAAATTCATCTGTATCAGGGTCCCACTGAAAACTAAGAACTGTTATAACTTTTTTCAGACAATAACATGAGGTTTATCATTAGCTAGACTTTTTATTTTCGCGTTTTCTAGCACTGACTTTCTATTTATAGACCATTTGTGGAGCTCAAATCCACAATTTCTAAGTGATTGTTTCATTTCAACTACTAGCTCAGAACCCTCTTAAACATTGTCAGTACCTCTCAACACATCATGCACATAAAAATCCCTTAACTGTCTTAGGAAAATTTTTACTTTCAATTGTACATCGCATTAATACTATCTTCGGCAAGTATGGCGCAGGAGCAGTTCCACAAATATCAGTATTCAACCGAAAAACTTGCATGTGTTGAAATTCCGTATGTTTTGCCTCAAATTTAAATTGTCTAAATACATTTCCTCAATATTTGCAGTTATTGCAATACTATGAAATTTAAATCTCAAAAGAATATTAATCATAGCATTTGGGTTTTTGGACCAACTAATTAAAGTTTCATTTTGTGAAACGCCAGATTATGATTTTTTGCAGTTGCATCAATCACTACTCTCAGTTGTGTCGTTAAGCTTGACTCCTTTAAGATAAAATGATGATGTATATAAAAACTTTCTTTTTCCAATTTTCGATCTATAGATGAAATAAATTCCATGCGACTCTAAAATAAATATTCTTGCTTGAAATTCCTACTATGCTTGAAAAAAAGGTCAACTGAACAACAACTTCATCTCGAGTATGAGAATTTTGAAAATGAACTTCATATAACGTTCCTGCTGTTATCAGAGGCTGCGAATTTGAGATACTCTCTAACACCAGAACGACTTAACTAATTCTTCAGTTTTTGCACTTATATGATTTACCGATACTGGATTATTCTGTTTAGGCATTTCAAAAGCCTGTTGTTCCTGCAGTAATCCAATCTAGTTCTGAACTTGCAGCAAAATGTAAATCCACCACTTCAACTTACATTGAAAGAAATGTTTAATAAAGTAAACAAATAAATATTAAGCTTTTTTTGTAAATTTTGATACCCTTTAGATCATAATTGCTCTTTATTTCATAAATTAAAGTTTCATATTTTTTTATTTTATAATTTCTGCATGCCATCTTACCAGATTTAAATTGATAAATAATCCGGAAAAACCCCCCTAATCCGGAATCACCGAAGTCCCGACGAGTCCAGATTAAAGACTTTGTACTGTAAAACAGTAAGCAAGTTAAGCAGCTAAAATGCGACACATTCAAACATTCACTTCAAATTACCATTTTTAGCTGTACTACGCAATGTTGAGCTAAAAAATTGATCTTCATTATCAACACCCTTATATCGTGTTGATATTCTATATAAATTTCTATTCTCCATCTATCCTTTTATTCATCATGACAACAGTCTGTTTACTAATGAATAATCGAAGACCCATTGCATATAAATAAATAAAATCCTAATAATAATCATAAGTATTTCTGCCATCATAATCGAAACAATCATAAATAATAAAACATTCATTGCAAAATGTGGACATGAAAAACATCGAGGAATGCCACGTCGCTATTTGGAATCTTGCCTCGCAGAATATATACGTGTAGGTAACAAACAAATGATCATTTAAAAAAATTTTTTCGGCCCCTGAATAGAAATTATATTTTACGGAAAAGTGCTCGCATTTTAAGGATTTGCTAAAAACGCTGGCATATACAGAAGAAACAAAACTTTCTAGTTTTTGTTTGTGTGAATTTTCTTAATCAAACACTTGGCATAATAATTTATCGTAAATATTTTTAAACATATTTGTTTGCCAGAATTTTTGCCGATAGAAAATTTTTAAATGCTTTGTTCAATTTAAACAAAAATATAACTTTAATAAAGATTATTTTTTTTAAAATATTCCTTTAGGAAAGACGAATTTAATTATAAATTAAAAATAATAATAAAAAAAGCTTTGTACTTCATATCATATTATTGTATATTTTATAAAGCCTTTACGAAGCCTGACATATTGATAGCTTTATTTTAAATTACTGAACTTAATACTTCACATCTATTTATTAAACATGGTAGTAAAAAATATTAATTATAAAATTGCTTTAATTTAAGCAATGCATTTACCTGCTCCAAAAAATTTTTTTCAAACAATTTGAATTTAATACTTCATTTCCCCTATTTATTTGCAGGGTAACTACAAGGGCACTATAAAATTCATTGATGGCAATTCTGGTGCTGAAGTTGGATGCATTGCAGTTACGTTCAATATACAGCCATCTTCTTGAAAAAAACTGAGATTGCACTAAAAGGAGAAAAAAAAAATAATAATTTAAATATTTATAATTTAAGTACTGTATGAAATACATAACTGTATTTGTTATTCGTGCCAAATACAGTTACAGTATGACGCATATATGATCAGAATAGTATTGGTTTTTATATTGTCTTATTAGATCTTTTTATAAATATACCGGGAAAGTTTCTTCAAATAAAAATAAATTGCAAAAATATGAATATAAAGCACTTTTCCAATCTGAAACATGTTTAACCTAACATTCAGCGACCATTAAAAATCTTTAGCTACGTATGTGCACAAACAAGCACGACTGGAAATCTAGTCGAATACAAGCAAGGTACGTAGGTAGATACAAAAGTTTCTGGTCTCTCATATGAAGTATTTGGCAAAATTTCCTCTTGCAAACATGTAAGGGAAATAAAGGAATAAATTTGAAGATTTCGTTACAAAAATCATATGCGTTCTTTCTTCATTGTTTACTGAATGAAGAGATGTGTTAGTTTATTCTAAAATGTTTAAAACTGAATATCATTCTGTGATTATACAGTTTTCTGAAAAAAAAAAAAAAAAATTACACAGTGCTTGGATTATGTGTATGCTGATTCATCTCCTTTCTATTGTACGATGAAAGAATGGGTAAGACAGTTTTACATGGACGAGAATCCGCAGATTATTCTCATGAAGGTTGAACATTGGAGGGATTGACATCAGAAAACATTCCTCGTGTCCAAGAGGATATATTGAATGACATACTATTCAAAATCAAGGAGATAGTAGCAAGATTGGATCTATCTGAAACAACTTTTTTGCACATTCTACATGAACAAAGTCTCTGCAAGATGGATACCTCTATTTCTTTCACAAATTTAGAAACACTAATGTGGGTGTTAGAACCACCCCTTTAACAGCCCATTATTATCTATACTTCAAAATGAAATTGTGGAAAGAGATTTAATGATGATGATGGCGTGAAAGAGCAATTATGGAAATTCTGAGGCTAAACCTTTGGGATTAATTTCTCAGGGGCTTAGATTTGCTCATTAACCGCTTCCCTAACAAATTGTTTTGAAAAATATTGCAAAAAATCATCACATTTTTTGTTTTATTATTAAATACAACAAAACAAATAGTTTTAAGTTGAATAGTTTTTTTTAAGTTGCATTTTTAATTTTTTGAAGGTGTAAAAGCATTTAGTTTTTACACCTGCAAAAAATTAAATATTAGTCTTTGTATGATAGTTTTTGAAACAAAGGACAACACAAACTGATACCTGACCTTCTACACTGGTACCTGGTCTCTTTTTTAACTGACTTACGTTGGAATCTCTTTCACGGGAGCACAGAGTACACTGTCTCGTTGGAAAAAATTTTCCCCCACCTCTTCATAATCACTATTTTAAAAATCATCGCTTTTGCTATCTTGCATCATTGCCATTATTTTATTTTTTTTCCAAGGCATGTATCCTTCTTTATACATTACTAATCCACAAGACGATGTATACTATACAATAGGGAAACACGTGACCAGTCCCTCCAAAAGAGCCATGCAACTAACAAAATTTGGCAAACTGCCAATTAAAGCTGCATATTTACTTTCATTTCCTCCAGGCTGAGTAAAACCATGATAAAACAAATCGTATTAACAAATTCTGCTTTGCCCGAGTTTTTATGGGATAATAACTAATTGCAATATATACGAACCCGAGATAACTCGGGATAATGAGGCAAGTGGTTAAACATGAATCATTCATGAAAAGTGTATAGAGGTAAAAGGAGATCACATTAAAAATAAAATTAAAATTTTCTATATTTGGTTTAGAAATATATCAGAGAAACTTTTGAATATATCCATGTACGCTGACAAAAAATCGAACAGCTAGAAGCAACAAAATTAAGAAAATAAAATATTCGAAATGGAACATATTTCAATTTGCTGAAAATGAAAGTAAAAATCTTCTTGAACTTTTAATTTGCTCGGATTTGCAGGCATATCAATATAATAACCAATCATCACAATCAATAACCAGTACGGCTTCCTAATTTTATGTACAATATGCACTAAGAAAATGCCGGTAGGTTCATTTCTAATTCAAACAATGTAGAAAGGAACAGCTGCAAAACTTAGATTATTAACTGAAAGAGAAAAATTTAGAAGCCATTTCAAATGAAAAATATTTCTTTCTTCCACATGTTGGCATTGGGCTTAAGAAACTTTATAGGTTTAAAATCACGGAAAGAACTCCTTCAAAGGCAAGAAAACATGTGTTGAGAATAAAAAGCTAAAATACTTCAGGTTTCGCATCTACCCGATGCAGGGTGCTTTATAGTTTGTGGTTTGGATAATGACACTTTAAAGAAAAGGTAACAGACCAATTACCATTTATTCCTAAAGAGAAGCGTGAACATTCACTACGAGCTGGAGAAGAGACACAGATTAAATTGCATAATATATGATCAATAAAACATTTTCTGGAAGAACAAAGATTACAGTAACCCTTCATTATTCTTAGTTTCAAGAAAGGCAATTTTTGTTAATTAGGCTCTCTTTAAAACATGTTGTTTTTATAATATGAGAGGACTAATTTGAACTTTTCATTTCCACAATTCTTCTTAAAAGTCAGTTTTTCTGGACCTTGATAAGAAGCTTTTTCTTGATTATTCGCACTCCCATCAAAAAGTGACGCTTGTTGGCGGCTTTTTTTACATTCATTAAAGAAATAAAACACTTTAAATTTTCAAGAATTCTTGTAATTTTTCTTTGGCACTGTTGTTTTCCCCATGTACACAGCAATCTATTTTAACTTAAATCAAACTTGCACAAATTCAAGATTGAGCACAGTTACAATTGTGCAAGAATAGCTGAAACTTCAACATATTCTCCAATGCAATGAAAATACATGAAGGCAAACTCCACAGTTCCATCAAAATTCGTTAAGACAAAAACAAATATTAATCAGAAAAATGAGATTTTAAAAGTGAAAATCCAATGTACTACATGCATATCTGGGTTGCCACACAAATACGTTTTGGTGATAATGTTATTTGTCACATAAAGTACTTTTTGGTGACATAGTGCATTGTCCCGATACTTTTTCGCAGCTCTTTGATGGGGCTGAAGGTAATCAAAAAAGTACCAAAAACATTTAGTTTTCCTAGACTTTATAAGATTTTCCAGGTTAATGGGAAACCTCTGAAAGATATTTTATATACATACAAAGTGTTTCATATTTCACTAGAAATTTTTTAACAGTCTCTAGCTCAGAAACAGCAGAACAAAATTTATTACAATATGCTTCATTAACATCCTGCTGAACACAGCAAGTATATATAAAGGCAGCATCATTGGATATACACCGTGTTACTCGTATATTTCTCCCCCTCACATAATTTTCCTCCTAGTTTTTCAGCCTATGATTTATGGTAACAACGTAAAATGTATGCACAAATAGGAAATTTTTTTGCATAGGAAAAAAGAACATTAATGTAAACTGATAAGTCATTAAAATATACAATATAATAACACTAGTATATTGATCTAACTAAGCCGAATCTTCACGAATATTATTATGGTGCATAATTTTTGCCTTCTGCTTTTCAAGCATTAAAATTTGCAGGAAAAGAGGTAAATACACGGTTAAATATGGTAACAACTATATAGGCAGGTCTATGAAATTTCATTCCACCTTTCAGCCAGTAGTGTCTTCGGAGTTCCCTTTTACAGAATTTCATTGCATTTATTGCACACTGTAATTAAAAAAAAAAAAAAAAAAAAAAAAAATTTCTCAAATTACTAATAATATTTGACATCACTGCATTCAATGAATATCTTATAAAACTCATGCTATCACAAACTTTTACTTCAAATGCTGTAATTTAAAATTTATTTTCCAAATGTTTCAGTATCAGCTGATTAATTATTTGTCATGCTTATTTTAAATTACTCAATTATTCACATTTCCAAAAACTGTAGTTCATATATACAATGCATGGGGAAAAAAAAAGGATTTTATTCCAATTCAGCAAGGGAAATTCCTACCATATGAATAGGACTCGCATGTAACTTAAAGATGACTACTACATTAGTTAATTCTGTAGAGGGAAATTACTTAAAATATTTCAAAATTAGACAACTTTGTCAACAGCTTGCTAAACCCAGATAAAATATTAAATGAATTTTTTTTTTTTTTTTTACTTGAAGCTTTCATTTGATACACAGGTGGGGGGATCACTGAATTGAAAAACTAGTTACATTTCTAGTCATTAAATAGAGTATGGACTGGACCATTTAGATTATAAAACCTTTACACCTTTTCATTGCATTAAATTTGATGAGTATATAGTATTTAAAATTACAGTATAATCAATTAAAACACATATTAAAATACCATCAGCAAATATTTTTTAATTACTGCTCCAATTTACAATGTTCAACGGCAACTGAAACTGATATTGGTAATACAACACACAGCGGTTCATTTTCCAACCAAAAGTGAAGTTCAATAATTCACACTAGAAACAAATTACAATAATGACACATAAAACATAGACTCAATATTTATGTACAGTTTCATAAACTACTGAAAACTATACTCTCATTAATAAGAGGTTATATTGAAGAGTCACTTATCATAGAAAAGACTAAACACCATATCAGTCTAATATTGATTATCAAACCTTGAACAAGTCGAGAGTGCATTCTGATTAAAACTTTGTATTTTAATACTGCTGTTTAAAATTCAATGCTGATGTAAAGCTGGCTACATTCAAAATTTGAGTTTTGATATTAATCTTTTAACCATACAATAAAAATTGCACGGGCTTCCCCCCAGCACAACTTTTATATTTCTGGTGATAGATTCTTTGCATCATTCATTTCACAGCTAGAGAAATTTTTGAAAGTTTTTCTCTTTAAAACAGACTGTATAACTATATACAAACTACTAGGCATTTGCTGATTTGAAAGAACAATGTTCCTCATTACCAGAACTTTGCAAATGTCAGTTTACTTAATACATGTGAGAGATCAAATTTTAGTTTTCATATAGTAAGGGTTTACAGTAGCTTTTAAAATATGACAAACCAGAAAGAAGTATTAATGTATCATCACAATAGGTTGAAATAAATAAATATGGTAAAAGTAATTTCCATTTCATTTTAAAAAATACCTCATTTGCAACTTTCAAAATAACTATTTGTTATCTTATTTTCCAAATACTCTT